GTACCCAGATTACAGACCAGGCACCATAAAGTTGTGTTTTTTGGGGGAGATGAAATAATATTTCCCATGATGGAATCACAGTAAAGTGAGCCAATGGACAGTGACCTAAAGCAGACCAGTTTGTCACTTGGCCTTTTAGACCAACAGTAATTCTCCCAACTCATGTCTTTGCAGTCATCACTAAAAGCACAAGTTTTATCCTAGTGGATTACAGTAACGGCTCTACCTTGGGCCTGCGCAAGGCATGTGAAAACTGCTACAACTAGTCAGGGAGGGAAGGAAGATCCAGCATGGGGCCTGGATCTTCAATGATCCAACAAAAACTTAGTAATATGGCCATCTATCTTACACACCTAAACACACTTACTCCACCCGTGGAGTAATCCTTGGACAGAATTGGCTCACCTGTGGTAAATGAATTAGACCATTGTTGTTTGCAAACCAGCAGCAGAAAGTTGAGCAGCTTCTGTGTGTTGAAAAATTAGGAATTAATTCAGGATGGAGTCCAGTCAGTCTGTGAACTGGCAGGGGACTCAAACTGGGAAGATCCGAGGAGTCACTCACACACTGTTCCCGGTCAGGGAACCAACTGATAGAAGTTTCAGCATGGCTAAAAAGAAAGAAATGTGAAATAAAAGTGGCCTTTATTCTAAGAATGCCAAGAGAAAACCCCACGACCATGGAGGTCTGGCTTTTTTCTCTGTTGGACATATGGTGTAGTGGCCTACATATAGCTTTGGTCTGGAGTGGTGCCTAAGGGGCATTACTGATGCCGAAGTAGCCCATTGGAACTCAATTTGTGCCACAGGTAAATTGCCTAGTGGAAGGGAAGTTGACCTCAAAGCAGAGCCCCCTTGGTTCTGCCTCCCAGTCTCCTGCTTCAACAACATCTAGGGCAAAATCCTTTCAGTGAGCACTTACTTTTCTATACCTCCATTTTCATTGCATTTCAAGCATTTCATATATATTCTTCCCCACATTATCTTCCTTTACACCCTAGTAGAGTTTCTAGTATTCAAGTACAAGGAGATAGTTTGGTATTCCTGAGCTTTAGGGTTATAGCTCCCCTTTCCCTAATTTTCTAGTCTATAGAATGATCAAATAAACCTTTATTTTCATTAAATTTTAGTAATTCCTGCATTCATATTCAACTTAATATTTATCTGTGAAACCAGTTTCTTTTAAAATTTATTAAAAATTTAAATAGGGTAAATTAAACAGAACAAAACAGATCATAAGAACAGAATTTAAGACACACAGAGTTGAAAGCAAGACCACCAGAGATCTTAACACTATCTATCATAATGCCTCTTGTTTTCTTCCAAATAGTTGTCCATATCTTACATACAGTGAATACATACTGAACAACATAGTACTAAGCTTATCAGAACAGGATGATGAAGGCATGTTAGGTCTTCAACACCAAACAATAGGGAAGTCAGCAATGGCTGCAATAATGTCCCTCATTCTCTTCAAAATAGCTGTCCATATCTTTACATATGTTCAAATTAAATAAAAGAAAACAGACTAATATCACTCTGAACAGAGAATAATAGTATTGTTAGATTTTATATCATAATGCTACAAAATTAGCACTGGCTATTTCAGTGTCTCTTCTTCTGAGGATCTGTTCATTACATTGTGCATTATACAACCTATTCTTGGAATCTGTTTAGAAGTTCTACACATGCATGAACCTCTACATGTATACCTCTCTTTTCTGTATTATAGGGAAAAACATCAAAAGAAGACAACAAAACAAATTCCTAGATAAACTTGAAATGAAAAAGACATATAAAACCACAATATTAGGTGATCTACAGTAATTGCTATGATGTCTCTTGTTATTTTCAATAGAATTGTCTATATTATCAGGCATAATATAATTGAGCATAACACTACACAGCAATATTAATAAAAAAAACACCATTAGAGACATTGTAGGACTTCAACAACAGTTAATAATAAAACCAGAATGGGTATCCCATTGCATCTCATCATCTTCAGTGTAGTTGCCTCTACTGTGGAAACTATCAAGCATACAAAATCCGACTAAAATCAGTGAAGAGAAAACAGCAATCTAACAAGGCAGATTCAAATATGATCCGTCACAGTAAGACAGGGCTTCGGTTTAAGTTAGTAAGAAATTAAGGATAGTGAGCACTGTATATCCTGCTATATATCGGATAGCTGTCTGTACCCTCAAATCTAGTATGAATAGACAGACTGAAACAGAATAAAAAATCCTGATACACTATTAACAGTGTCTGTTGCCTTCTTTTTTTTTTTTTAGACAATTCCTCCCCTTTCCCTTTCTCAGGGTGTTTTATACATTTTGGGTCCCACTAGTTCCTCTAGTTTTTAGATTAGGGGGGCAAGCCATTATCTTTCTAAGTTGTGCTGAACCTTTTTACCTGTGAGCTTGATCTTGAGCTGTATTCCTTTATGTACTAAAGATTCAAGGTTTTCTTTCCTTATAGCTGAGTAGTTCTGCACTCTACAAAAGTGTCATGACTTCTCAACCTATCTTCAGCTGCTGGATGAGCTGTCTCTATTTCTCCCTGTTCCCTGTCACATAGAGCATGATTTTCTCATCTTTGACTTTCAGTTTATTAACCCCTTTTCAGGTTGTGTATATTTCCCATTCAGAGCATCTCGATGGACCCTATCTCCTGATCTACTCTGTGTTTCTTTTTGTTAGTGTAGTAAGGCCTTCTATGTTAGAGATTATAGCCAACCTTCTCAGCCTCATCTCTGCTATGCTATTTTTCTGCTATTGATTGTTTACTTTTCTCCTTCATTCTACTGTCTGTCTCATTCTTTTTGAGGTCTCTCTGCCACTGTTGCTGGAAACCTGGTATTTTTTTCTCTCTTTCTGGAATATCCTTCAGTATTTTTTGTATTGCTTAATTGCTGGTCACAAACTCCCACAAGTTCCTGTTTGTCATGAAAACCTTAATCTTGTTTCTCCATTAATTTTGAGAGAGAGTTTTTCAGGGTACATCAGTTTGGGTTGGAAGTTATTTTCTTTCAGGTCTTGGAATACTTTGCTTGAAGCTCTTCTTGATTTGATCATTTGTGTCAAGAAATCTGTCATGATTTTGATGGGTTTCATTTGTAAATGATCTGTTTCTTTGACTGCTTTTAATATTCTGTTCTTTTGATGAATTTCTGGAATCTTGATTATTATGTTTGGGTGTAGATCTCTTTTGGTTGTTGCTGGCTGGAGTTCTGTATGCCTCATTAATCTGGATATCATTTCATATGCTTGGGAAGTTTTCCTTAATTATTTCTGAGAATAGCTTTTGTAATTCATTTCTTTTCACTCCTGGTTCTTCACTCACATTTTTTATTCTTAAGTTATAGATCCTTTTGTCATCTTCTAGCCTTTGTATTGTTACTTCTTGGTTCCTTGTTAATTTTAAGAGATCTATTCTTTCATGATCACACATTGCAAATCTATCTTTAAGTTTTGAAAGTCTCATTTTAGTTTCTGTCAAGGAATTTTTCCAGCTTTCAGTGGAAATTTTAATGTCTTGGTTTGGTAATCTCTTTGGGTATGTTTCATGTATTCTAGATTTTTAAAAATATTCTTAATGAAAGGTTTCTCTTCTTTTTCTGAGTTCCTGCATTCTTCTGTCTGTGTCTTCTTGAGAGGTGTTAGATATTTCTTTTATTAATCTTTTTTATATCTTGCCTCACTTGAATTAGAATTTCAGTTTTAATATCTATGAGGTCACAAAATTATTTCTTTATTTCCTCTGATGCTCTGGCTGATATTGTATGATTGCTGCCCTCAATCTCTTCTGTATTTACCTCTTGGACTTATTTTCCCTGGGTTGGTCGCTGGAGGGTTTTTCTTGTTTGTTTCTCTTGTTATGTTTCTTTTTTCTCTCAACCAGGTGTATGGTGAGGAGCTCAGGCCCTTTCCATATTGCTTATGGATTTTCTGAAACATGCTGGCTAGGGGATTGCTGCCCTCTCCAGTTTGCTGTTGATCTGAGACTTGCACACAGGGACAATATGGGCTGGCCTCTTTCCTCTGAACCAGTCAACTGGCGAGTGCCTTCAGCATGTTAGTCTGTGTCATGGGGATGTCACAGGTTCAGTCAGTTTCATCCCTGGCCACTGGGTCCTGAATGGGGATGTGACCCAGCCCAAGCAGATCCCACCAGTCCTCTTTCGGCCCGGGATGGCTGACTGACATCACTGTGGTTCTGGGTTCAGGCCCATCCTGCCCAACTCCATTATGTCATCCAGCTCATCACCCACTCCTTGGGACCCAATTCCTAGCACTGTCCAAAGATGTTGGTTTTGCTCTCCATTATACTGCACCCTCCTGCCAAGGGCCTAGGGCTCACCAACCCCCAATTTTGGGGGCCAGCAATTGAGCACCACTATGAGTCATCTGATACCAAGGAATGCCTAGCACATTGCAAGATTGGCCTCAGTAAGAACATCTGGTTCCAGCCTTTCATCCATATTGTTCCTTCCCTTTTTCCCTTTTCTTTTTCCTCAATTTCTTCTTGGGTCATGAGAATCCTTCTCCTTTCATCTGGTCTTCTCCCTGGTGTTAAATTCTAGCATCTGAGTTGTTTCTCTCAGAAAGGCTCTCTACCCTGCTACTTATCAAGCTGACATCTTCAGCAAGACTATAAATTCTGTCTAGAAAGAGAGATGAACTCAGTGCTATGAATAATCAGGTGTTTTGAGAATGGTGGTTTACAGGTGCCTTTTTGAGCTCTGCTTTAAAGTCAGTGAAAAACTACAGTTATAGGTGCCCTGCAAGACAAGCCATGCTACAGTTCTATGATTACTTTGGAAATGTGTTGCAGTCTAGCATCATTGTTCTAAGTGGCCTAATTTGAATGTACTTGAGTTTTGATGATCATGATATGCAGTTAATACTTGAAAGAATGACCTTTAGTTAGACATTTTATTTGGGGACCTGAGATATATTTGTTGTGTTTCTAACCTTCAGGGTACTTGTCACTATTTAGGTTACAGTGAACTTTGAAGATGTAACTGTGAAGTTCACCCCAGAGGAGTGGGATTTACTGACTCCATTCCAGAAGAAGCTGTACAGAGGAGTGATGTGGGAAACATATATGAATATTACTGTGACACGTAAGGATGATATGTCTCATTTATTTATGCAAACAGCATTATTACTCAGTGATATAGTGTAATATATTTGATAATTATAATATTGGCTTACATATCTCAGGCCTGAGTATATTATACTATGAGTATAACTGGAACCAGTGATGCTTTAATGTAGTGTTATAGTGAATTTTTTTTATTTCTGTGTCTATAATACAGGAAGAATATGGCATAATCTGCAAATTAAAGAAGAGGACAAAAATTGTTCAAGAAATCTCAGGTGATTGACAATCAAAAGAGAAAGGGAACATTTCTTAAATGTCATTTTTGAGTATAAATATTGCAACAGAGGAACTTGAAGAAATGAGATCATATTCCACTTTATTTAACTCACAGAAATATCAAGATAAACACTTGATTTTATTTTGTATTATCTGGAAATCCCTAGAAAAAGATTTTAATGTAGGAATCAGAGTGCTGATACTATGTAACAAATAACACTATCTAATACATCAGTTTAAAAATTGCTTTCATGATTCTGGTAATGTATGAGAGTAAATTTAAATATTGTAATCTCATATCTAGGAAATGACAAAAATTGTGAATTTTCATAGAAACTCTTCTTCAAAATATCATTTGTATATATGTGAATACTGAGACTTTCATGATCTAAAAAATTTTTCACATAGAATCAGTACTTAAAATGGAAATGAATGCTACAGTTTATAATAAGTACTTTGAAAATATCCTATAGAATGTTGAGCTTTTCATGTTTAATTTCCTCATACATTGTTGATGGATACATAAAATAGAAACATGGTAAACAATATCCAGAGATCTGAAAAGTAAAATGATGTGTTTCATATTTTATCACATGTAAATCCATCGCTGTACACTTTTGTTTTTTACTTTTGTGCCATGATTTTATACTGTAGTTCAGATTGACTTTTCACTTACTGTGTAGTCCATACTGGCTGAAACTTAGAGGTATCCTTCTGCCTCTATCTCCTGACTGTTGATTGAGTTGTACTGTTTCATTATGTGTAATGATTCTCTCACTATATTGTGAAATACATTAAGATTATCAAATGTTGATGATCCACACAATGTGTTGTTCAGTGCAGCACATGAAAAGTCATTTACAACATCTAATACAAAATCAACTCATAGTACCTAAGCTATAGGAAGAGCCCAGATGCTCCTCACAGGGTGCCAAGGTAAAGAAAATATGGAGTCTGCTCATCATGGTGGTGCATCCTTGCGATCCCACTACTCTGGGAGGCTGAATCAGCTGGATGACAATCTGATGCTCAGCCCGAGCAAGTTCATGGTCAATAAGAATCTCTTTCAAAAACAAATAATAGGTCAGCTAATTTAATTCAGTCCAATACCTGTGTTTAACTCTACACTGAAAAAAAAAATGCCAAACAAGGAACTGTGATATGTTTTCACAAGAAACAGAAAGAGTTGAACCTTAAGTGAAATAAATCAGACTCAGAAATGGAAATATTACAGGTTTCCCCTTAAATGGGAAGGTAATAGCATATTTGAGGCGTGAAAGTTAAGAGAGATAATATGAGACCAGAAACCCTTACTTTTTGTAGATGAGAAAGATGATCAGGCTAAATAGATGATGGGGAGAATGAAGACATGAGGAGCCAAAAGAATGATCAATATTTGATAGTCATTTGTACCAATCCTAAAATGATATTATATATTAGTACCATATACCAATTTAAAATTCTGAAATGAAAACCAACATCTTTAGAATTAACAGTACTTTGAAAGAAGTGCAGGGCAGTGAGTCAGTTACCATCAGTTAGTTAACCAGGGCAGGGCAGTGAGTCAGTTAACCATCAGAATTACTTAGCAGGCATCAAACCAAAGTAGTCATCACAAACCTCAGTTGTTAATGAGGAGCTCTTTCCATTGTGATTGATATCTTTTTATTTCTTTACAGATGTGATAAAGACAATTATTTGAGAATTGAGAAGCAGCAATATAAATATAATGAAGATATGGAGACCTGCAGTGATTTCCAGTCTGTTCAGAAGCAATGTGGGGAAGCATTCAGTATACTCAGTAGCTGTCAAAGACATAAAAACATTCACACTGGGGAGAAGCCTTGTGTATACAACAAATGTGGGAAAGCATTCACCACAGCCTCTAAATGTAAAGCACATGATAGAACTCACACTGGGGACAAACTCTTTAGATGTAGGCAATGTGGGAAATCTTTCAATCGAAAGGATAACCTTATTAATCATGAAAGAGTTCACACAGGTGAGAAACCTTATGTATGCAACAAATGTGGGAAAGCATTCAGTAGAGCCTCTGGCTGTAAGACACATGAAAGAATTCACAGTGGGGAGAAACCCTTTGTTTGTAAGCAGTGTGGGAGATCTTTCAATCGAAAGGATAACCTTAGTAATCATGAAAGAGTTCACACAGGGGAGAAACCCTATGTATGCAACAAATGCGGGAAAGCATTCAGGAGTGCATCACAGTATAAACTACATGATAGAATTCACACTGGGGAGGAATGCTATGTATGCAACAAATGTGGGAAAGCATTCATCAGTGCTTCACAATGTCAAAATCATGATAGAGTTCACACTGTGGAGAAACCATTTGTATGTAAGCATTGTGGGAAATCTTTCAACCGAAAGGACAACCTTATAAATCATGAAAGAATTCACACTGGGGAGAAACCCTATGTATGCAACAAATGTGGGAAAGCATTCATCAGTGCGTCACAATGTCAAAAACATGATAGAATTCACACTAGGGTAAAACCACTTGTATGTAATCAATGTGGAAAACTTTTCAAGCAAAAGCGTTATCTTATGATACATGAAATACTTCATACTGCAGAGAAACCCTATGTATGCAACAAATGTGGGAAAGCATTCATCAGTGCATCACAATATCAAATACATGATAGAATTCACACTGGCGAGAGACCATTTTTATGTAAGCAATGTGGAAAATCTTTCACACAAAAGCGTTATCTTATTATACATGATAGAATTCACACTGAGGAGAAACCATTTTTATGTAAGCAATGTGGAAAATGTTTCAAGCAAAAGCATTATCTTATTATACATGAGAGACTTCATACTGGAGAGAAACCCTATGTATGCAACAAATGTGGGAAAGCATTCATCAGTGCATCAAAATGTCAAATACATGATAGAATTCACACAGGGGAGAGACCATTTTTATGTAAGCAATGTGGAAAATCTTTCACACAAAAGCGTTATCTTATTACACATGATAGAATTCACACTGAGGAGAAACCATTTTTATGTAAACAATGTGGAAAATCTTTCAAGCAAAAGCATTATCTTATTATACATGAGAGACTTCATACTGGGGAGAAACCCTATGTATGCAACAGATGTGGGAAAGCATTCAGTTCAGCCTCTAGCCTTAAAGCACACGATAGAATTCACACTGGGGAGAAACCATATGTATGTAAACAATGTGGGAAATCTTTCAGTCATAATTCCACCCTTATTATACATGAAAGAATTCACACTGGGGAGAAACCCTTTGTATGCAACAAATGTGGGAAATCTTTCAACCAAAAGGATAACCTTATTAAACATGAGCGAATTCACACAGGGGAGAAACCCTATATATGCAACACATGTGGGAAAGCATTTGTCAGTGCAAAGCGATGTAAAGCACATTGTAGAATTCACACTGGGGAGAAACCCTTTGTATGTAATCAATGTGGGAAATCTTTCAAACAAAAGCGTTCTCTTATTATGCATGAAAGCCTTCATGGTGGGGTGAAACCCTATGTATGCAACAAATGTGGGAAAGCATTCAGGACAGCGTCTAGCTGTAAAAAACATGAAAGAACTCACTGGGGAGAAACCATATGTATGTAAACAATGTGGCAAATCTTTCAGTCAAAATGTAAGCTTACTATACATGAACGAATTCATACTAGGGAGAAAACCTTTGTAAGCAATATTTAAAATGTTTCAGTCAAAATGTTATTATTACTGATGAAAGATTTCACACTGGGTAGAACCTCTGTGGATACAACCAATATGACAAAGCATTCAGTATACAGAAGTGCTAAAAGAAGCCCTTTCTGTGTAAGCAATTTGGGATGTCTTTCTGCTATAGTTGTAGCTTTTGTGTATATAAAAGAATTCACTGTAGAAAAACCCTACCTATAAGAGAAATGAGTAAGTGGATTTGTTAATAAATTTGCAGGTCATAAACATAAAAGATCTCACACTGGGGAAAAACCTATGAACATAAGGAGTATAGGAAAACTTTCCACAACTGGAGAGATTGTCACTATATGACAGAACTCCGTGCAGTAATTCTATGAATTTCAACAATGGTTGACAGCATTTAGTGCACAAACATGCCATCAAATAGGGGAATAATGTACACAAGAAAGAAACCCTAAGTATGTAGGCAATGTGGAAAAGATATGCTGCAGTTTTTCCCTTTTCCAAACATAAGATTCCTTCACACCAGGGCGTAACTACACGTAAGAAATATTTGAAAATTTGAGATGATACAGGTGGTAACCTAAGTGATGTCATATTGTGGCTTGAGCCTATGTATGCAATGTGGGAAAGCATTCAGTATACATGGTTATTGTAAATCCTGTGAAAATAATCATAATAAAATGAAATCATATGTACAATATAACTATTTTGAAAATAATTCATAAATTGCTCATGGAGAAGTGACCTGCAAAAATAATATAAAATTATTGCTGTAAACATATTCATAGATTTTTTGAAAACACCTTCAACACAGTTACCCAAAAATGTTTTCTTTTTTATAAATCACGCATAAATATCTGATCTATTTTTTGTAGTCTTAAAAAAAATACAGTGTTTAAAGGAAATTTAAGTATGAAGAAGTTTTTCCCCATGTTTTTTATCCACCAATGTCTTGTCTTGTTGGATGATACCAAGTTACCTCATGACCGTTTTTTTCCCCACCATAATCTGTAACTCTTGTATCAGTTTACCCAGAAGGATGTATACATTCATATTCAAAAATCTGCTTGTATTCATGGCCTGATCTATATAGCCATGCTTATGGAAAGGTATACCATCACAAAAGCTAAAGCAGCCTCAGTCACTCTTAGAAATAAGAATGAACTTAAATTAGGGAAAAATCTTATGTATGCCACAAATGTGCAAAAATGTTCAGTACACAAACAGGCTCTAAAATACGTGCTAGAACTCTCAATAGGGAGAAACAATGAAGATAAACGTCGTGCAAAATCTCTCAGGAAATATTGTAACCTTGTCCATAAAATACTTCACACTTGGGAGAAAGTTTATGTAAGACATATTAAGAAGGGTTTGCTGATAATCCACCTTTTCTAGAAATAGAAGATCCCACACAGAGAGAAACCTTATGTATATAAGCAATGTGGAAATCTAGCAGCCAAACCCATAGCTTGCATATGCATCAAGGAATTCACAATGGGAAAAAATTTTGTAGATAAGCAATTTAGGAAAACATTCAGTTCACATAGTCACTGACAAACACATGAAAGAACCCACAATAGGGAAAATCTGTGTGCAGTAGCACAATTATAACAGGAGACCTTAACACACCATTGACATCAAGGGATAGGTCAACCAGACAGAAAATCAGCAAAGAAATAACAGAGCTGAATCACACCTGGGAAGAAATGGACTTGATAGACATATACAGTATTCCATACAACAGCATCAGAATACACATTCTTCTCAGCAGTACATGGGACATTCTCTAAAACACACCATATATTAGCACACAGAACATATTTAAATAAATGCAAAAGAATTGAAATTATCCCTTGCATGTTATTGGATCATAGCACAATGAAATTAGAAATTAAAGATAAAAGATACTGCAAAAATCCCACAAACACATGGAAACTGAATAACACATTTTTGAGTAATCAGTGGATCACAGGAAATTAAAGAAGAAATGAAAACAATGTCTATTAAATAAAAAAAAAGAAAAGAAAACAATGTCTACAAGTAAACAAAAAGACAAATACAACTTTCTGGAATCTGAGGGATGAAATCAAAGTTGTCCTCAAAGGAAAATTTATTGCCCTTTGTTCCCACATCAGGAAAACAGCACGAATACAAATAAATCACCTGATACTACACCTCAAACATCTAGAAAAAGAAGAGCAAATCAAGCCTAAGCCAAAAGAAGGGAGGAAATGATAAAAATCAGAGCAGAAATTAATGCAACAGAGACTAAGAAAACAATCCAAAGAATCAATGAATCAAAGAGTTGGTTCTTTGAAAGAATAAAAAAATTGATAAGCCTCTGGCAAACCTTATTACAAAAAGGAAAAAAAGCTCAAATTCATGCAATAAGGAATGAAAAAGGCAAAATCACTACAGACTCTGACGAAATACAAAAGGTCATCAGCACATATTTCAAAAACCTCTACTTTTATAGATTTGATAACACAGAAGAAATGGACAGATTCCTAGAAACATGTGACTTCTTGACCAAAGCTAGGTCAAGAAGATGTAAGTCTACTGAATAACCCAATTTCAATTAATGAAATTGAAAATGTAATTAAGTCCTTACATACAAAGAAACGTCCACACCCAGACGCATTACTGCAATATTTTAAAAGAAGTACAAAGAAGACATAGTGCCAGACTCCTCAAACTCTTCAAAGAAATTGAAAGGGACACAATCCTTCCTAAACCATTCCTGGAAGCAAATATTACTCTAGTACCAAAACCTGAGAAAGACCCAACTAAAAAAGAGAACTATAGATCAATCTCCCTAATGAACACAGATGCAAAAATCCTCAATAAAATATTGAAAATAGAATACAGCAAATCATCAAGAAGATTATACACCATGACTAAGTGGGATTCATCCTAGGCATGCAGGGATGGTTCAACATCTGCAAATCAATAAATGTAATCCACTATATCAATAAAGCCAAAAGTAAGAATCAAATGATCATTTCAATAGATGCAGAAAAAGCTTTTGATAAGGTCCAACATTTATGCATGGTCAGAACCTTAAAGAAAATTACATTAGATTTTCTTTACCTCAATATGATAAAGGCCATCTATGACAAACCAACAGCCAGCATCATACTAAATGTGGAAAAACTGAAGGCCTTTACCTTAAAATCAGGCACAAAACAAGGATGTTCCTTATCACTGCTCCTATTTTATATAGTACTGGAAATACTAGCCAGAGAAATTAGATGAGAGAGAAATAAAAGTGTTAAAGATAGGAAAAGAACAAGTTAAATTATCATTATTTGCAGATGACATGATACTTTACATAGAAGAACCCCAAAACTCCACTGAAAGACTCCTAGACATAATACATAAATTCTAACTGGATACAAAATCAATACTCAAAAATCCATACATTTCTATACACTAACAATAAAATAACAGAGAGAAATAAGAGAAGCCACATCCTTCACACCAGCAACCAAAAAAACACAAAATACATGGGAATTATTCTCACAGAAGAAGTGAAAGGTCCATATAGAGAAAATTATAATACACTGAAAAAGGAATTTGAAGAGGATCTCAGAAAGTGGTAAGACATCCCTTGCTCATGGATAGGAAGAATAAATATTGTGAAAATGGCCATTCTCCCAAAACTGTTATATAGATGCAGTGCAATCCCAATAAAAATACTATCAACATACCTGGTAGAGTTATAGAAATCACTTCTAAAATTCATCTGGAATCAGAAGAGATGTAGAATAGCAAAGACAATTCTAAGCAGCAAAGGCAAGGCAGGAGGCATCACAATCCATGAGTTGAAGTTATACTACAAAGCAACTGTAGTAAAATCAACATGGTACTAGAATCTAAACAGAACCTAAGATAAATGGAATAGACTAGAAGATAGAACCACAACTACAAACACACTCAACCAAATTATCTTTGATAAAGAGGCCAAACATGTTCACTGGAAGATGACAGTCTGTAATAAATGGTGTTGAACAAACTTGCTCTCCATATGCCAAAAACTAAAATTGGAGCCATACTTATAACCATGTACTAAATTAAAAATCAAAATGATGAAAGACCTGAATATTAAATCAGAAACGTTAAACCTATTGGAAGACAAATTGGGTAAAAATTTTGAAGACATAGGGGTAGGTAGAGAATTCTTGAAGAGGAATCAAACCACATGGGAATTTCTTTCCAGAATCAATAAGTGGGATCACCTCTTATTAAAAAGTTTCTGCATGTCAAAAGAAGTCTCCAGTATAGTGAAAAGAAAACCCACAAACTGGGAAAAAATTCTTAGTGAACTGTCCCTCAGACAAAGGACTTCTGTCTAATACATATAAAGGATTAAAAAAAAATCAGACTCCGAAAATTCAAAGACCCAATCCAAAAATGGGCATGTGAAATGAATACACACTTCTCAGATGAAGAAACACAAATGGCAAATAAATATATGAAAAAATGCTCATCATCATTAGTCATGAGAGAAATACAAATGAAAACCACACTGAAATTCCAGCTCACTCCTGAAAGAATGGCCAGGATCAAGAAAACAACCAACAACAAATGTTGGAGAGGCATTCCCCGCAGCACTGTTGGTTTGACTGTAGACTGGTGCAACCATTCTGGAAGTCAGTTTGGAGATTTCTCAAAAAGCTGGGAGTGGACGTCCCATTTGTTCCAGCTATTCCACTTCTAGGCATATTTGCAGAAGAACTGAAAACATCATACCACAGTGATATATGTGCACCAGTGTTTATAGCAGCACAATTTGTAATATCCAGATCTTCGAAACAACCTAAGTGTCCATCAACTGAGGAATGGATAAAAAAGTTGTGGTGTTTTCATACAATGGAGCATACTCAACTATAAAGAAGAATCACATTGAGATATTTATAAATAAATGGGTGCAGCTTGAGACCATACTCATAAGTGAAATAAATCAAACTTACATTTATAAATACTGAATCATTTCCCTAGTTAAGAAATGGTAAGAATACATAAGAGTATGTGGTAATCATGATTCCTCCATTACATTGCTTTGAAGCCTTACAATGTTTTCATTTATTAATTGGAGTGTTTTTATTCTCGGTTGTTTGATTTTATTTTCTGTGATGGCATGAAGAATTATTTTGAAGAAAACAAGACATTATAATATTTAGTGCTTGAAGTCCCATCAAGCTTGTTCTTCTGTTTCCATTAATTTTATCATGTGGTATCTTATTGGATTTTATTATATGTGATAGTATGAACAAAATAATTTATATACAAGGAGATAATATAGAAACCATCATTCATTTTATGTTAGTTGGTTCTAAATACCTTGTAATACTTTCATGCTCTTGAATGGTTTTACACTGTCTTGTTATGTTTGATGCTATAGTATATGAAGTTATGCTCAAATATTTCAAGGAAAGAGATGCTATGTAACTACTGTTATATCAGGTTATCTTGTGGTGAAACACTATGTGGCCTAAACTGTTCTGTGCTGACCTGTTTTGTTACATCTTCTTTTATCTTATTCTCCCCTTTAAAAAAAAACAAAATAAAAAAATCCCAAAATTGTTATTCCATTCAATAGGTTTTATTTTCACTCTGTTAGCTATTTATTTTGTCCTATTTTTTAGCTATTTATTTTGTTGAACTAAATCTTTTTAATAAGATGAGATCCCAACTCTTGAA